ATACATTGTGTTCGTCCAAATGACACATCTTGTGTAAATATCGTCGCTTTAATGACTCGTTTCTTAGCAAGTGTCATGGCACCATTTCGGTGATGTGGATGAAGGAAATGTGATGGCAGACTCCATGAAACTATGGCGGAGAAATCGGCTCGAGGACCCGGCCATTGTAGGATCACTGTCGGTGGGGTAGAGGGCGCGGCGCCGGTGGTGGTGAAGCACGTCAGAGACGAGGGCGGGAGCGGGTGGCCCCGACAGTTGGTTCAGATCTCGGCATGGGGCACGGGAGCTAATCCGGCCAACGAGCAAAATCTACAAACAGTCGGATCCAAATTTCAATCCGCGCCAATTCGGCTTCGATCACCCTGCGCGCTGCTTGGTTCCTACGCTTCCCGTCCCGCTCCGACTCCAACACGTACGTACGTACGGCGAGCCTCGATCGTGCTCGCTTGATAAATAGCATAGCGTCTCCCATCTTCTCATCGCAATCTTCTCGCCGATCGACTCCTCCTCCGCAGCCACCACCAAACACCAAGCCATGCCCGCTCTCATGGCGAAGCGCTCTTCCTCGGAGCGGTGCGCGATCCGCCGCGAGCTCCACCGGCGCAGAAAGCTCGCCGCCGCGCCCAAAGGAGGAATCGTCAAGAAGTCATCCACTGCCGCGTCGATCCACATGTCATCCGCGGACGAGCCAGCCGGACCGGCGACCACGAAGCCGCCATCCATGCAGACGCCGCGCCCACGAGACGGAGCCGCGATGTCGCCTGCTGCATCGATTCTGCAGCACGCGCCGGCCGGAGTGGCCACCAAGAAGCAGCTTGCCGCCGTGGCCAAGGGAGCCAGCGGGGTCGCCAAGGAAATCGCCGCCTCTGTGCCGCTGGGGCAGATTGCCAAGAGGTGCACTGCCCCACCTCGCCGATCCGCGCTCATCCCGGCCGCGTCCAAGATGAAAGTTTCCGCCGTCAAAAGGGTCTCGGGAGTTCCCAACAAGTCAGCGTCACCCTGCCGATCCTCCACGGAGCTATCCTCCACCGCCGGAGCAGCGTACATCAAGAACATGCCAATCATACCGGCCCGGCCGCGCTCTTGGTCGATCTCGGTGAATAAGGGCATGACGGTGAAGGTGCGCACGCGCGCCGGGATCCTGCCGACGGGGCACTGCCTCGTGCTCTGGCTCGCCGCCCGCGTCGTCTCCGACGCAGCAGACGACGACGGCTTCCTCGATGTGATCTACAACGGCAACTTCCCCCGCGACGATCCCTCCCGAACCGTGCGCGTCGCCATGGACGACGTCAGGAGCATGCCGGCCGTCAGTGAGAGTTAGAGTCGCTGATCATCAATTCAGACTGCATGCAGGTCATCTTCATAATACTGTAGCCTGCCCGATTGTTAGCTGCCAATGTCGAGGGATCCCAGACTTGTATCTCGACTGGAGATCACCCGGCCGGACTTTATTGTCTCTCATCGTAGTAGAAGATGTAATGAAACTATATTTGAGAATCAATAAAGCTGCCATGATTGCTTTCCCTCGAAAAAGAAGAGGAGATTCTATTGTTACCTGAACCTTCGTCAGTCATTTACAATTTCATTTACATTTTTTTAGGGACAATTTCATTTACATGCTTGGCGGTGGGGTTTCCATCCTAGCTAGTGGAGAGAATGCAAATGAAATTAGCTCCTCAACTGGTCCTAAACACAAGGTCTATAATGTAAGCAAATAAAGGCATAAATCAAGTTAACTATTAACAGCCTCTTTGTGATGAACTGACAAGCTTTCATGATCTTCTATTTTCAGTTGTCACTGACTAGGTGACTATGCTATTGGTCCGTAATATATGCGGTAGCAAGATTATCGACCTTCTAATGAGAGCTGCAGAAAATGTATTTGTCATGGGTTGTGATTTAGCTGCCCTCATGACTTTTTGCGGTACAAGCCCTGTATTTTCAGCATCTTCGCCTGTCTGTTGCTGTTTCCATAGTTACAGTTATGATGTGCTACCTTTTGTGCAAACAAAAAATTTGCGCTCAAATGCCTGTAAGTATTACCTAGGGATGCAGGGCGGCGCCCGATCCACCCCGCTTCCCGTTCAAAACGAGAAAAAAGTGTTTTAGCTGGATTAGAGCACATTACAGTAATTTGTACTGGCTGGCGCTTTTGCGGGACGCCGTTCTGCATCCCTAATTATTACTTATACAAATACCATGTAAGCATCAACCCCTGCATGCTGAGCTCTATAAAAGGTTAATGTAACAACTTCTTCTCAGGGTTTAAGCAGCATGAAGAATTTGTTCTAGTGATCCAAGCAGCGAACATTTTGCTGCAGAGGATTCAGGACATAACTTAGTTTTCTGTTTAACTCAAATGATGTCATGATTTTTCAACATAACTTACCTGCATATTGTTGTTTGGGAACCTGCCCTATATGAGCAACAAGAACACAGAGAAGGTAGACTCCACAGTAACATACAACCACAAAGAACTTGGTGGACATATCCATCAAGCCCAGAACTTTCTGGCAACATTCCCTCACATTTTTTCCAAAACGAAATATCAAAAGGCATCATAGTATATATTGATCAGAATAAATTGTCTCGCATACGCCAAGCATAGGTTACATAATTTGATAGAAATAAATTGGTCCAAAAGTAATTCATATGGCTTGGCTTTGAAAGTATATGCAGATTATTTTCAGCAAAATTTCCTCACGTGTCTCTGAAACAAAATGATCAAATGCACCAGGTAACATTATAGCTTAATCTAAATAAACTGGTCAGCCATAAATATCTCGAGGACAACAATATATCTCGAAACAGCAGAGATTATTTCATCGACACTTCCAAGTTTGTGTGCCGCCAAGTCGTCTTTAGCTCTCGCGTCAAATCAGTAGCACCCTAACAAAACTGGTACAAGTAGAAGATCTGAAAGGGACCGAATCTTCATAATGTGCCTTCTTCCTGTGTATATAAATTGGAAAGGAACCTCAATTTTCAGATATGAATATACACCATAGTTGAAAGGTCTTTCAGGGAAATAAACAATTTGTTTGTTCTGCAATCTCTTTCACAAGCAGCAAGAAATATGTAGCACATGAAAACATGAAAGAAGGTAAGGAAACAGCATAAACGTTGATGTTTCTATCTCACAGTCTATACTGCAATAAAAAGGAGACATGTGCATCACTGCATATCCACTGTTGGCAAAAATTACGGACATCTTAACATGGGCAGGAACAACGTGACGACAAAATGGAAGGGATAACAGGATCAATAGATCAATGACAAACAAGAGCTCAGAGGGTTGCTAATCTGCTCATGGAAGGGATAACAGGGCAAGTTCTGTCTCATACAAGAGGTGTCAGAAGTAAGCAATGCTCATCAAGGCCACCACCGGCTTACTAACAACACTAGAAACTCAAAGATATCCAGGCAAAGAATAAAAGCCCAATATTGGTAAAAGAAGCATTCAAGAAATCCAATTATCCAATAGTTCATTTCACAAACATAGTATAGTCTTTGATAAAGATGTTAAGAACATATTGTTAAATGCTGAATCATATCCATGAATAATTTGCCTTCCAAGTTGATATCAAAGATGACACACTAACCAAATCTGAGCATAGATAAATGAACAAAACTCAAGTGGGGCCTCAGAAGCCGTTCTAATGTAGACAATATCCACACTAACACAAATAACCATTGTCAAGCATGCAGCTACATGGCACACGCACAGACACACGAGTCAAAGGCTAAACTTCCATATTATCCATGGAGGAAAACCTGGAAATGTGGAAACTAACTGAAGCATACCTCTGATGGAAGGATCCAAATATCAAATGATCCCAGGCGACAAGAAGTTGAGGACCTTCACAGATCAGCAAGTGGAACATGCCAAATTGTTAATATATATAAATAACCCAGATTCAGATCAAACTAAGACCACTTGTTTACAGGAACAAACAGAGAATCTTGATAGGACAAAGATGCACACATACAGGAATTAAGCAGCATACACACATCCACAGAAAAGGGGAAAAGGGGAAAAGTTCATTATGAAGTCAGAAGTCCCCAAAAAGTGAAAACGGAACACACACACACTAAAAAAAATTCTGCAAATTCCAAAAAAGTCTAAAGATAATAAGTACGGGTTAGTTTTTGGTTCCGATGTGAAAACCCAAAATTTCATTAACACACAAGTTATAATATGTTTGTGCAAATACTTCTTTCTGACAGCCACACACATCTTTCTTCATCCCTTTTTCCCCAGCGCATCATTGAACATCTGAAGGGATTTTCAACAGCTAAACCTCAGGGAAAAAAAGGATACACATATCAAATATGACATACAGTTGCAGTGCAACTAAACCTGTCCCAGTCCCAGCCAAACACAACCAAATTCCAGCAGGAGGCGGACACAGACAATTACTAACCAGAATTTAGCTAGCAATGAACTACCTTGTAAATGTTAATAGCTATCAAAAGTTCAAAACTGGAATATGCATTTCTATCCATAGCTGCCAAATATCATCAGAAGATAACAGAGACAGGTTGACTAACTGCAAAACTCACATTTTTTAACTAGCAAAAATGCACAAAACTAAGATGGATAACTACTACTCCCTCCGTCCCACAATATAAGATCGCTTTTCAAGCTATGTTAGCTTGAAAAATGATCTTATATTGTGGGATGGTGGGAGTAGTATTCATTTCATATACCCGAGGCTTTAAATAACATGGAAACAATAGTGACTGAATGTACATTTCATCCTCTTTACTCTTTGCTAGCAATTGTGTTCAAGCGCAGTATCTGCTGATACCTTGCTCGAAAATAGCACCTGACAAAGTAACAAACCACAGAGGAGGATTTATCGTATGGGATTTCATTTCATTCCGTGGTTGCAAGCCCCCCGGATTTCATCATTACTATAATAAAATGTCCTGTCTTTTCATTTTCTTCTTGTGTAATAAGCACTTCTCTTCTTTGACCTCACGTGATATATCAGTCCTCATACCTGATAGCAACAGTTCTTGGCAGTTATCTCCTGAATCCATGATTGCATCTTCATTGTAATCAGCAGCCTACATCATGTGAAGACAAAAGGCATAGGTAGTTACAGAACCTACAAAAATGAACTGAAAATTTTATACCGAGCAGAGCAAAGAATATATACAATGAGAACAACGCTACGGAAAATATGCAACTAACAGATTATATTATCAATGGATACAGACCATACATAAAACTCACAACAATTGAACAAAAGCAGTCAGCAACAGGATAACTGGGACTAAACTGAATTTTGCAGATGTGATGTTCCATTCCAGGTAGGATGTGGCTGTTTACCAGATATTACAAGTTCAGTTCAGGGTCGGTCTACCAGTTCAACCTTCAAGTATTGCTGTTCTTTTGTAACTTGAAGTCCAGTTATTCGAGGATACATCAGGCTAATTTCTCAGCGACTCCTAAACGGACCCCAGTTCTGATACTTGAGATCCAACTGATTTATTGTAATAGTTTCTCTGCATTTCCCCCAGGAACCCAAGTTCTAAAACTTCAGGTCTAATCTGATGTTTGTAGTTCTCTAGAGCACCAGAAGTACACAAGAAAACAGTACATGTCTATCCATTCCATTCTACCGATTTGATTACTTTGTCTCATTGTTTGATGTAGCTTTCTGCTACTTAATCCACTACTCATCAGGCAGGATTTTGTCAGAATAACCCCATTAAAACTAGCCAGTAAAAAGATATAAACGATAACATGGTATGACTGAAATAGCCAGTCAAGAATAAGTACATGGCAAACTTACGTTTTACCTTTGCCAAATTTTCCGCAGAATGCAAATGAGGGTACTTTTAAACCCATATGGAACTGCTTTGACCAGCATAACAAATAGTTGCGCGCCAACCAAGTATGTTCACAAATCACAAGTGCCAACCATTAGCACGACAATAGTTGCGTGAATTAGCAATTGTGCGCCCATGTTTGATTTTCTTTGACAAATTGTATGCAGTCTCCACTTTGTCCATCTCCAGTAGCCTGTCGTTCAGTTTGCTATAAACAACTCTCCCTAGACAGAAGCCTTTCCTAAGTGATTCCTCCACCACGGAAACAGCAGCATCAACCTTACCCACATTGCAAAGCCCATTTACAATAAACTCGTAAATTTCTTTATCGGATGGATACCCGCTCTCTTGCATCTCCTCCCAAATGTTCAACACTGTCCCGCTTTTCCCAAACCCGGCAAGCCTTTCAAGGAGAAGCTTGTATACTTTCAAGGATATCGTACAGCCAGCCTTCCTACTCTTTTGGTAGATCATCAAGGCAGCATGAGGAGGCCCAAACGTGCAAAGTGGCTCAATGAATGATGTAATTACCCCTGTATCTGGCAGAATACCTTGAGCCAACATGTCATCAAACATTTGAAGTGCATCAGCCACCCTGCGTGCTTTCAGATGGGCTCTAATCATCTTACAGTATGTGTCACTGTTTGGAGGACAATTATTGTCCACCATATCCTTGTAGTACTTCATGGACCTGTCCAAATCGCCCACTGAGATAAAATTGAAAACAAGTGCATTGTAGGCCATCGTAGTTGGACCATATCCCTCTTGCACCATTTTCTCGAACACCCTGAGCGCCTCCTCGGCCTGCCCTGCCCTTCCCAATGCCTCAATGAGATGGCAATGTGAAACATCATCCGGCACTAGACCATCCTCCATCATCATTGCCCAGAAATGCTCCAGCTTATCAACCCGCCCAAACCTCGCCCAACCGCCAAGCACGTCATTGTACACTTGTTTATCAAGATTGAATGGTTGTCCACGGGCGGCGTGTACGAGCGAGCTGGCAATGCCGACATGTGACCTTCGGCAGAGGCATTCGATGAGAGCAGAGAATGCCTCCTTTCTGTGGCAAGTTTGCTCGATTCCTAACCCAAATTGGTCGCTCTCGAGCAGTTGGACGGCCTTGTTGACCTGCCTGGCGGCAACCAGAGTATCCATGATTATCTGCAGCGTGGTTAGGTCTGGAAAGATGCCATTTTTCCGCATTACCTCCAGGGCAGGCTCGAAAAAGGCGAAAAACCTCCTCCTGCCCAGAGCCCTGATGACAATGTTGCAGCTGTGTACGGAGGAGGGGAGCTTGGCGTTGGAGATGGCCCAGTCGAGGAGGTCGACGGTGGCGGAGCCGCTGAGGTTGCCGCGGCCGACCACGTCGGAGAGAACCTCGGGGGAGAGGGCGTCGATGCCCGTGGAGGAGAGGGCTCGGTGGAGGGCGGCGCGGCCGGGGGGCTTCTGGAGGAAGACCCCGCGGAGGCGGTCCGCCGGGGACAGGAGGGTGGTGGTAGGAGGAGGATGGGGAGGAGCTGCTCCTGGATCGAGATTGCGGTTAATTGGCTGAAGGGGAGCGGGGGCTGGGGCTGATTTGCTAGGGTTAGTGGCGGAGAGGAGGCGGATGGAGGAGACGACCATGTCCGCGGCGGAGGAGGAATATCTGAGGCTACGATGGAGAAGGCGGCGGGCCATTTGGAGGCTCACCGGAGTTTGGAAGGTCAAGGTCGTGTCCGGCAGCGGCGGCGGAAGTTGCTAGAGTGAAGTCTGAGGTCGACTTGCCTCGACTTAGCCACTCACAGCCATCGGATTAGGAGTCGACGAACCAGATCGATGAACCGGGAAAAAAACTCGGAAGCAAAATTTATTTTTCAGATACCTACTTTTGATAAGCGTAACTTTATTTTTCAAATACACGTTGATTTTAATTAAATGGTACGAATTTTTTTCAGCTGTGGGAACATTTTTTCTACACTGTACAATTTTTTTTCATATATGAGGATCACATACATTTTTATGAATGGACAAAATAACATTTTTGAATTAGGTGAACATTTTTATTACATTGTATAAACATTTGAAAGTATGCATGAACATTTTTTGAATCACGTGAACATTTTAAAATGTAATATACATTTTTTAGTGCTATCAACATTTCGGTTGAGTTGTGAAACATAAATTTACATTGTATAAGCATTTATTGAGCACGCATGGACTTCATTTAAATTGAAAAAGTTCACTATAAAAATATAAGTAAATATAATAAAACAAAAAATTGGGGAAAAGTGTGTTGGAGAGCCAGAGCTCCTCCGCGCTGGGCTGACTCATTTAGGGGGCGCCTGAGGCAAGCACTACGTACGTTCTGCTGGCCGAAAACAAGGAGAGACATATCCCTTCCCGTGGATGACGACTTGTTGGTTGGTCAAGTCAAAGTTTGTAAAGCTTGACTAACTTTGTAGGCAAAAATATCAACATCTACAATACTAAAGCTATATGATATGAAAAGTAATTTCATGATGCATTTAACAATATTGATTTCATATTGTGAATCTTGATATATTTTTCTATAAATTTAGTCAAAGTTAAGATTGACTTTGACCAATCTTATATGCAGATTAAAAAAAACGGAGGAAGTATAGACACAATCCATTGGGTTTAATTATTTGTATTTTTCTCTCCTGATGTCTCGCAGATGATTCAGTGTAGTATAGTCTCTTTTTTTGCGGGTGAGTGTAGACTATAGTCGTACATAGTGTATAGCACACTTGGTATAGTCCTATTACATAATACTGGTCCACTATGGTTGTAATTAAGAACAATTTTTATTATTATTAGTGTTCACTAGGAAACGGGAGAGAAAGTATCACACCACCTAATTCAGTATGAGGGGTTCACTTGTGCACCATCATGGTGGATCCCGCATACTCCTACCCACACACACCATACCAACTCTCCCCCTGGCTCAACACTGCCACTCTACCGACCCAGGAACACCACCCGTGTACCGCCCTCCCCTCGAGCATCTCCTTCTCCTTCTACCCCATGTGTGTTGCTTCATAACGAACTAACACATACTTCTTGCCCGTATGCCCTGCAGTGCTGTCTGTCAGCCCCTTACTTGTCATGTGCACCCACTTCTTTCCATTCATCCTCGTCCCACCCGGCCATAAGCAATCTCCGCCGCTTCTCTATCTCATCCTTTTTTTCTCTTGCGGGATCTCTCGGCCTTTGGCTCCTGTGGCCTCCAAGCTCCATCACCAAGCCATCATGTATACCTTGGACACCGCGATCCCTCGCATTCAATGTAGTCTTCCATTGCATTGTGATTTTTCATCATGCATCCTACTCCTGCTAGGCTGACAAGTACCGGTGGCCTGGTGGTATTAGAGGATTCCATCAGGACGGCTCTAGACAAGCACATAAGTGAGTATTGTTTTTATACTTTCCCTCGATTCAGATATAAACAACACATGCATATATATACACGTCCATCAGGACTCCTTATCAAATTTCAAACTTTATTTTTTTCTAATCTAATCACCTGCGCACACATTGATTGATAGGACTTTGGGTGTATGGGAAAATCAAGCGAGGCATACATGGTGATATTCAGAAACATATGATTTTCATTAAGATTACATACCCATAGATAATGGGAAGTACTGAGGAGTATGTTGCAACAGGAATAATCATTCTAGTACAAAGGACATATGTTGTTCTCGCTAGGAACTGAACTGCTCAGACACCACCGACGAAGCAGAAGCTGAGGCTGTTTCGTGCTCTCACTCATCCACATGAATGGTAACTGGCCTGGTAATCTTGAAAATTGACAGCTCGTAGTTTTTGAGGCACTGCAATTCACTGGGACCTGCAGATCAAGACTGTTTGTCGGGTATGTGGATATTAGGGAGCAGATGAATTGTTTTCAGTAGTGTTGCACATCCCTGATGCGTCGAGAGTGCAACCAAGTAGATCATGGGCTGGCTAGCTATGCTAGATCTCATGGATTTGCAAATAATGATGAAAAGTCTTTTAAACCTAAAAATATCCTGAAGGAAAGATTTTAGTTAGGCGTGCAACAATTGACCAACCAAGTCTTAGATATGAACCTTACCGGAGGGTAATTTATCAATAAAGTAGA